GGCCAGCTCGGCAAGGAAGGCGCCGCCGTGCTCCTCCTTGAGAAAGCGGGACAGGACGTTGGCCCCGCCCTTGCCCCTGCACGGCAGGCACACCACGCAGGCCGGCACCGCCTCCGGCCCCGCGTGGCACATCACCCGCGCCGGCGTCCCGCCGCCAAAGTCCGTCGCCTCGAAGCCCAGGTTCCGCCAGCTCGTCACGAACAGACCGTTGTGCCCGAACAGCGTCTCCACGCATGGCAGTGGCACTGGCACGCTTTCTTCTCCTTCTCCGGTGAAGGTGGCCGGCATCTGCTCCTTGCTGCTCCTGATCAGCTTAACCACGTCTTTGATGTCCCCCTCTGCCACCTCGCGGATCGTCGGAGGCGGCGCGACTACCTGGGTGGTGACGCAGTTGCTGTAGTAGCCCTCCGCGGCGCCGACGGCCCTGCGCGCGTCGGCCGCGAACACGAGCGGCGCCGGGGTGCCCGGGTCGTCGTCCGGCATGATGACGCGGGAGCGGCACTGCCACATGACCGCCGTGACCGCCTCGAATACGGTGCACGGCGCGCCTAGCTCGTCGCCGAGCTCGGCTTTGATGCGGTCGATGGTGCTCGTCGGCACGGTGATGTCGAGGTTGGCGTACTCCTTGGGCTTCAGCTGGCCAACCATGGTACGCTCTATAGCGGCGGCCAGCGGCGGGAGATCCGGCAGGAGCTGGTCAGCGCAGGTGACTGGGGGGATGGATGGCCGATCCAGCCCGCGCGCGAGCTCGCCCACAGCCCGTAGGAGCAGCGCGATCCCGGTGCCGTCGGCGACGACGTGGTTCCACGTGACACCGAGGACGAACGCGCCGCAGGAGAACTCGGTCACCTGCATGAGCAGCAAGGGATCGGCCACGCGGCAGCTGGCCTCCGGGTATTCGACGGCGAGGTCTTTAAGCAGCGCCGCGAACGGCGGGTCGAAGAGCTTGACGTTCACCAAGGCGCAGCTGGCGGTTGCGGCCACGAACTCGACGCCCTCGCCGGTGCATGCGATGCAGAGATCGCCGTCGTCGTCGTCTCCCACGACGACGCGGCCGGCAATGAGGCGGAAGTGGTCCAGAGCGCGGGACAGCGCCCGCTTGATGGTCTCGGCGGGCTCGTGGATGGCGCGGTCGAAGACGTGGAACGATGAGGAGGAGGAGAAGGCGAGAGGCTTGTCGAAGGAGGAGACTTTGACGTGGTCGGCTGTCGCCGGCGTGGACTGCTCCGTCGACGGGCGGACCAGCAACGGCCTTGACTTGGTCACGATTACCCTCATTTCCAACAGGAATCTCACAAGTTCTCAGCTAAGTGGTAACGCCTCCTCTGGGCATTTTGGCCCGGCTTATATACAAGGCATTGTCTACTTTTTTTTGGGTTAGGCTCTGTTTTCTGAAATTGGGTCAGTCGATTGATTCTAGACGTTGGATGAAGATCACAACCAGTGGCCCTTCTTCTTCTTCCTCCTCCCAGTGTTTCATCGGCGGAACCGCCGGCCACCACCACCCGCGGCCGGCGGCGCGGGAGCGCCGCCTCGCCTCGCCGCCCTTTCCGGAACCACCCCCACCGCCAGTCTTTCGTCGCCCCCGGCCATCCCTCTAAGCCCACCCGCGTTTGGGTTTTTCTCCGGCTAAGTGCACTACCACCCCCGCCCGAAACCCTAAAATAGATAATTGGGTAGCCTCTCCGGCGAGCCCCCGGTGCGGCTCTTTCTTCCTTCTCTCCAGCGCCTCCTTTCTTCTAAGGAAAATTAGCTGACCAAATCAGATTTTTCAGTCGACTGACGTATAGCTAAACTAACTTTTTTTAACAAAACACAATCGAAGTCGCTCATACACTCACCCATATGGACGCATGCATGCACACTCTATCCCTATGAGCACATCCGAGAGGTTGAACTGGCATAGCATCTTGAGATTGACGAAGTCGTCACAGACGCATCGTAGTCGACGGGACGCCTGATGCGCTGGGATACTACTGCCCCCCTACACCCAATTTGTTGGCACAATCTTCAATGTATGTAAAAGTTGATGGTTTGTTATTTGGGGCTCACCTTACCTGCGACCTGGAGGAAAGAATTATAGTTTAGAAAGTTATCTAAATGCTTATAGATTCTTTGTAGGTCTAGGATTATTGAATTGACATGGCTGGCAAAAATGCTAGACGTATAGGCTTTTATGGGGATTCTATAGGTTCCTTCAAAACTTCCAAACATCCCCTCCCTGAATTCAATAGGGGTGGACCGACCAATTAAAAGCTGCCATAACATCATGTAATCCCCTCATCCATGTAACACCACGTACGTGTAGCAAAGCTCCATGGCAGGTTCTTGACGATTTGTTGTCAAGAACACAATTTGGATAAGTAATATAGGGTTGGGTCATCAAGGAAACAATTTGTTTTCACCACCTTAAGCTCCGCTCAGGGCCTTCTGAGTGTGACTCTTCGGTGAGTATTGCTCAATCCATTGAGAAATAGCAAAATTCTTGGGCCAACCAATAGTCAAACATTTTTTTGGGACCAAACATTGTTTCTTAATAAAAAAATATTTACATAAATTTGCACACACATAGAAACCCAAATTATTCTAAATAAAATAAAATAATGGCATTGATATTACCCTAAAAGAAGAAAGATAATGGGATAAAGAATAACAACAAATAAAACAATTCACAGTTCCACAATATGCAAGAACGTACAATTTTCAGACAACGATATGATTTACACGCCAATTTTTGCATGACGCGACATATGGGACATGGCAGAATACATAAATTCATCACATTTAGGTTAGCAGTGGATCTGAAATGCCTTGCATACCCATTAGACCAAGTAGGGGCTGACAAGACATTCTACCTCATCTGAGTTTGGGCCTGGTTGGATTGAAGTGAAATTTAGCTACACCAACATGACTCCAAGCGAAAATATTATTGAGAGTAATGAGACAATTTTTTTTAAGACAAACAAAAATGCATTTGCTTGACTACTTAAAACTGAAGGGTATTGCCTTGCCAACATTGTAGGGAAGACACGGGGAGCATGCATGCATGCAGCCACATGATTAGGCTAGCCATAGTGGGGGTAACATAAGTAGTATATCATGCGCTTGGGACTCGCAAACATGCTTATGTGGCAGGCAATTAAAGAAGAGAGAGATGGTTATACGTAGTAACATAGGTAGATACCGTAACATAATAAATGTGATGCCATTATGTGTCATGCATGGCAATAAATGAGACCACCTATGATACTAATATATGATACTCCCTCCGTCCGAAATTACTTGTCATTAAAATGGATGAAAATGGATGTATCTAGAACTAAAATACATCTAGATACATCCATTTCAATGACAAGTATTTTCGGACGGAGGGAGTACAATGCACTATAGAGGTAGTAACATACACTAATAACATATGCATGTTATTAGTGTAAGTTACTCCCCACTATGAGCAGCCTTAGGCCAAGATTAGGAAAGTGGTTTCGTGACTAGAGCTTAATTATGACATACATGCAGCTTTTGATATAAATTTTGGCAGAAGGTGCATGCCCTACCCACCTCACCTCTCATGCTTTTCCTTTCGATTGTAAATTATTTGAATCTATTATACCTTTTGAATTGAAATACCATTTTATATTTCATTTGCATCTTCGTTTTCCTTGTAAAAAGGGCTTTGAAACAAGCCCACTTTTGAATACATTTTGATTTGTTTCAAAAACTTCAGCAAGTTTCAACTACTCCTTCCGTATCAAAATATAAGACGGGTTTTGATACTGTATCAAAAAACGTCTTATATTTTGATACAAGGGAGTACTAAAACTTAATAGAACAAATTATAAATTCGGTAAGTTTCAAAACCTAAAACTTAAATCCTAAACCCTAAGCCCTAACTACCGAAACCTAAGCCCCAAGCTCTAACCCTAAACCATAAACCCCCAAAAGAAAATGAAACTTGGTAAAAATATGGTGAAACTTTGTAGAACTTAACATCACGACTATCAAGTTTTAATATTTGAATCTTGGTAAAATTGTAGAAATGGTGTCTAAATGTATTCAAAATTGATATTGTTCAAAAGTACTCGTTCCAACGAACACAGTATGCAAATAAAACTTAATTTAGACTTTCAGTTCAAAAGATAAAATTGATTCAAATTTTGAGATGATATGAAAAGGCATGAGAGGTGGGGCGAGTGGCTCATGCAACTCTGCCAAAAGCTGGCATGCATTGAACCCAGTGCAACGATTAAGGGCTGATGAAATAAACTAGTGCATTAATTTCTAAGCAAATGGATTGCCGTATGCATGTGTACGTGTGCCCCTGCGAATTTTCAAACATTGTAAGCAGTGTCAATAATTTGGCACCAAACAAATGGAGTCCATACCTTTTAAACTTGCCAATATATTACCTTGGCAGAAGGTGGCTCCCAACCAAGCAACCCCTTCATATACGAGGCATCCAACTAGTTTTTCTTGTTTTTTTCTCAAAGAAGAGCTTTGGATCTAGCTAGCTGCGTCGAACATGCTGTACTTTTTTGCACTGTTCCTTGGTAGCTTCGTCAAGGAAGGGACACGGTGTTGGATCATGGCTTTTGGGTCTCCGTCAAAATCTAGCTAACGTGTTATGGCCTTTTGGGGCTTGGCTTTTGGAGATAGTGGGTCCAAAATTAGGAAGATAATTTCGGAGATGTTAGGTTAATTGTGTTTGCTGGCTCTGGCTCATGGTTCATGTTAGCCTGTACAAAATTTAAATTTGTGGATGGTACCAATGGGATGAACAAAATTAGGTGCCAACCTGGGACATGAACAAAATTTAAATATGTGGATGGTACCAATGAGATGGGTGCCTTGTTTACAGTTCCGCTCATGTGTTGCTTTTGCTGTGAGGTCACAGGGTATGTATGGAGTCCTTGGTCCTTACTAGTTGTACTACTCTATAATAGAGAGGTACGTGTTGGTGTTAGTACCAATCAAGGCACCCATCTCATTGGTACCATCCACAAATGGGCAGCATTCCTGCAAGAAGCGGCCTCGTCACCGCCTTTGATGAGCTGCCACCCTTCCACCCACTGAACGACGATGACGTACGATCCTACCTCCACAAGGCCGTCGACTTCATTTCCGACTACTACAAGTCCGTCGAGTCCATGCCGGTGCTGCCCAGCGTCAAACCTGGCTACCTGCGGGACGAGCTCGGAGCGTCTCCGCCGGTGCACCCAGCCCCTTTCGACATCGCCATGAAAGAGCTCAGGGCATCTGTGGTGCCCGGCATGACACACTGGGCCAGCCCGAACTTCTTTGCGTTTTTTCCGGCGACCAATAGCGCGGCTGCTATCGCCGGAGACCTCATCGCCTCTGCAATGAACACCGTCGGGTTCACGTGGCAGGCGGCTCCCGCTGCTACGGAGATGGAGGTGCTCGCGCTCGACTGGCTCGCGCAGCTTCTACGGCTTCCAAGGAGCTTCATGAACCGCACCGGTGCTTCCCGAGGGACGGGCGGCAGCGTCATTCTAGGGACGACGAGCGAGGCCATGCTCGTCACACTTGCCGCTGCTCGTGACATAGCAATGCGCCGGAGTGGGGCCAGGATTCCAGACCTGGCCGTCTACGCCTCTGATCAGACCCACTCTACGTTCTTCAAGGCGTGTCGGCTGGCGGGCTTCGACCCTGCAAATTTCCGCTCCATTCCCACCGGGCCAGAGACTGACTACGGCGTCGACCCGGTGAAGCTACTCGCAGCCATGCAGGCTGACGCCATGGCCGGCCTCGTGCCCACCTACGTTTGCGCCACGGTTGGCACCACGTCCTCCAATGCCGTCGACCCCATAGGCGACGTCGCCAAAGTCGCGGCTATGTTCAATGTGTGGGTCCATGTCGACGCCGCCTACGCCGGCAGCGCGTGCATTTGCCCGGAATTTCGGCACCACCTCAACGGCGTCGAGCGCGTGGACTCCATCAGCATGAGCCCGCACAAGTGGCTGCTCACGTGCCTGGACTGCACCTGCCTCTACGTGCGTGATGCGCGCCGCCTCAGCCAGACGCTGGAGACTGACCCCGAGTACCTCAAGAACGATGCCAGCGTGTCCAGCGACGTCACTGACCTCAAGGACATGCAGGTCGGAGTCGGACGCCGCTTCCGTGGCCTCAAACTTTGGATGGTCATGCGCACCTACGGCACCGCCAATCTCCAGGAGCACATCCGCAGAGACGTCACCCTGGCCAAGATGTTTGAGGACTTGGTCCATGCTGATGATCGGTTCGAGATCGTCGTGCCGAGAAACTTTGCTTTGGTCTGCTTCAGGATCAAGACGACTGGAGTTAGGGCCGCCGACGAGGTGAACCGTTTGCTCATGGCAAACGTGAACAAGACCGGCAAGGCGTACCTTACGCACACAGTGGTAGGTGGCAGGCTCGTGCTGCGCTTCGCTGTGGGATCGTCACTTCAGGAGGAGAGGCACATTTTGAGCGCTTGGGAGCTCATTAGGAAGACGAGCAGTGAGATGATGAACTGAGTTCACTATCGACTATCGAGCCGTGACATTACGTATCTATGGTCTTCATTTATTTTTCCAAATAAATATAAACATTTTTTTACAAATATATGTGAACATTTGTTGTGACTCGTGACGTGAGGGATATATAGCTAGCTGTGATTTTGTGTTTGCCCAATTGGTTGTAAAAGAGTGTTCGGGAATATTTAGTACACGGTAATACTTGGTGTCCGATGTTCACTGAGCTGTTATGTTGTTATTGCATACACTCATACCGGGAATTGTATTAATCTGTCACTAGGTCTTTTATTTTCCAAAGAAATCCACTTAAAAAATCTGTCGGGCAGGCAGATTCACATCTCTTATAACCCACACAATCTTCGATTCTCGGCTCGGAAGCAATTTGCTTAGCTTTACAACCATCCTAGGGTATCATTTCTAATACATCCATTGGACTAGCTCGTACACATTGAGTGCATCATATACATGTATCGTAAATTTTAACGGAATGTGACATTTGATCTATAATTTTTTCTTTTCGACATAATTTTTTTCGAAACTGAATGTCATGTCCAAGCCAAAGAACTTACCTGAAAAGTTCTGAAAAATGATGATTGGGACGAGATTCCATGTTTTTGAATCACGAAAAGCTTGGTTTCCATTTGGGTTGTAGATGTAACCAACCCACTATTGAAGGACAATGTAGAAAAGATGATAGAAAAAAAATCTCCAATATAAAGATCTTCATTGCTGCAAAAAGTACTATTTCCAAAACTAGTTAATTCAATTGTGACCCTCCATGGATTCACCTATATAGGTTGCGGCTAATGTTGCAAAAATAAGAGCGTGAATACCGCTTGTAAATAATCCAAGGACCTCTTTTTGACTCTGACTCCCCCACTCCAGCCGTTGTGTTTCTTTCTGTTACCGCGAAAGTAGCCTTCAGCCACGCAAATTCTCGATGTTCCTTTTTACTTCTCATCAAACGAATGGCATCTTCATCTAGAAATCTTAGCTATTCTAAGCATGATTTTAGGGAATCTCCTTGCACTAGATTTTCTTTTCATTATTTCCTTCCCCGATTATTATTCATGCAAAATTGCGCATGAACTAATACCCAAATCTTTCCATTTATTAATTGAATTCTATAACAAGTAACAACTGTTCTATTCCAAGAATAAATTATTACTGAACAAAGAAAAACAATTCATTATATTATAAAGGATGAGATCAAATAATAAATATTCTTCTTCAGGTGGTCTACGAGGTGCTACTCAATCCATTAGTTATGAAATACCATTAAATTTTTGTGTGCTAGCAATATCTCCACGGGCGACTCATTAAAATAGGATATTTTTCCTATAAAATCCATTAACTATTTATGTTCCTTTTCTTATTTTGTATTTGGATTGGCTTACTTCATAGATTCAAGTGAATAGGAGAGCAATAGCCTGACAAACAATCGGTTCAGTCCGATTCAAGTCTGGTTGGGCTGGCTCAATGGCTTTATACGAATTAGCAGTTTTTGATCCCTCTTAGTTAGTCTTAGGGATGGAGTGGAAGAAAGGTGTAGACTCTCAAATGAGGAAAATGATACCCGTCAAAATAATTGACCGAGAAGTTGTACCTAGAGGATATGGATAGAGAAAGAGGAAAAAATCGAAATGAAATAAATAATGAATAAAGCCAAAAAAAGTCGAAAAAAGCAGAGCCCAGATTTCAAATGAAGAAATAGAAACTCAAAAAAACAAACGTGCTACCAAGCTGCACTACATCCCTTTTCCAAATTAAATTGTTGTACAATGCCATTGTACACAATTCTTGTGTCCTTTTGCAAATCATAATTTTCTTATTGTTTCTCTATCTATATATAGAACCCACATGTCATTTGTGTTTTTTGGTCTCGTACGGAGTACTATATGATTTCACCTTTTGTTTCATCAGAAACAATCTGGGATGGAAGGATTCAAACCTCCGAGTAACGAGACCAAAACCCGCTGCCTTACCAATGAACATTCTCCATATTATGCCTTGAAGAGGACTCAAACCTCCATGCTCTTTAGCACGAGATTTTGAGTCTCGTGTGTCTACCATTTCATCATCAAGGCGCCTTGAAAGTTTGGAACAATTTGAAAAGTCTAAAAATGAAACCCTATATTTTCAAAAACAAAGGGCAATGAATCAGTACATCATTGATGGCGCGCGTTGCCGCGACAGTTAATTTTAATGTTGTATTGCCGAGAGTAATGCAAGTATATGAAAAGAGAAGCCTTTTTACTTTGTGGTCAAATTGGCATGAAGTAATATCTACATATTTGTTATGACTTTTTGAAGTAATATGATTTCATATAAGAATTAGACAGTTATTATTGGAACGTTATGTTTCTATGGTGGTGAGCTACTATTGGAGAGTTTATACATTACTATGTCGATATGTTTCTATGATTGGACAACTGAGATTTTGATATGCACAAGGTCCTGCGCATCAAGAAATGTTATAAGAAAAATCCTAATGAAAATGACCAGGAAAGAAAATAGGAGTGTGCTCTTTCACTGTGAGATAACAAAGCAACAATATCAATGATTGTAAATAGTTTTTAAATCCTATCATTGCAATACAATATACACACTCTACAGTCTAACAACTATATTTTGCAAACGAAGCACAACTACTCTTCCACGAGAAGCACAATTGTCTTCTTGAAAAGGAAAAGGAGGCACAATCGTTCTTCCATGAGAGGCAAATTTGGGCTTCCCGAAAATGGAAAAGCATAACTTGTGCATCCAGTAGAGGCACAATTGCGCTACCCAAAAATAGAAAAGCACAGCATGCTTCTGAAAAAAAAGTAAAAAGCACAACTATGCTTCTAGTTTTTACTGACTTTGTTTTTTTTATCTTTTTTTGTTTTCTCGGCTTTTGTTTTACGGCTTTCGTTTTTCGTTTCAGGCTTTTCCTAGTTTTTTCTGAAAAAAACATTGAAACCTATTAACATGGAATCTAATTTTAAAGATCTCGACGCGGGTAATCCGACGGTGAAAATGGTTCATGGTTTGCACACATGGTTCAATAGATAAACCATTTAGGAGAAACTAATCAACAAAAAAGAGAAAAAACTAACAGATTACGATGAAGCACATCAAAGAAGGTGGGAGTAACCTTTGCAATGGTACACCTTGATTTTGCACTTGCCCCATTGAGCTCAACGTGAGTTCGGCCGTGCATGTGAACTTTGGTGTGGTATCATCGGTCAGAAGTGGCGAGGCGGTTGCCGGCCGCGACGGCAAGTGACACTGTGGTCGATCGGACGGGCTGGCGGTTGAACATACATAGTGGTCACTGGATCACCATCCGACGGCCCAAAATTTTGGTTGACGCAAAAGTTTTTTTTTTCAGATGCCTGACCTGACTAATACGTGAATGTGCTCACATACTACAATAAATATTCTCTTCATTACAAACTCAATGTATAAAATGCAACTTCGATCGAGAACTAGCTTTGCACGGCGGTCAGGTGAACTTGGCCAGCTCGGCAAGGAAGGCGGCGCGGTGCTCCTCCTTGACGAAGCGCGACAGCATGTTTGCCCCGTCCTTGTCCCTGCACGGCAGGCACGCCACACAGGCCGGCACCGACCGCGGCCCCACGTGGCCCATCACCCTCGCCGGCGTCCCGCCGCCAAAGTCCGTCGCCTCGAAGCCCAGGTTCCGCCAGCTCGTCACGAACAGCGCGCTGTACCCGAACAGCGTCTCCAGGCCTGGCACGCCTTCTACTTCTTCTCCGGCCAGGGTGCCAGGTACCTGCTCCTTCCCGCCCCTGATCAGCTTAACGAGGTCTTTCATGTCCCCCTCTGCCGCCTCACGGATCGTCGGTGGCGGGGCGACTACGTGCGTCGTGACGCAGTTGCTGTAGTAGCCGTCCCCGGCGCCGACGTGCCTGCGCGCGTTCGCCGCGAAGACGAGAGGCGCCGCGCTGTCCGGGTCGCCGTCGGGCATGATGGCGCGTGAGCGACACTGCCACAGGACAGCCGTGGCCGCCTCGAATACGGTGCACGGCGCGCCTAGCTCGTCGCCGATTTTGGCTTTGATGCGGCCGATGGTGCTCATCGGCACGGTGATGTCGAGGTAGGGGTAATCCTTTGGCTCCAGCTGGCCAAGCATGGTCTTCACTATAGCGGCGGCCAACGGCGGGAAGTCCGGCATGAGCTCGTCGGCGCAGGTGACCAGGGAGACGGACGGCCGAGCCAACCCGCGCGCGAGCTCGCCCACTGCCCGCAGGAGCAGCGCGATCCCCGTGCCGTCGGCGACGACGTGGTTCCACGTGACACCGAGGACGAACGCGCCGCAGGAGAACTCGGTCACCTGCATGAGCAGCAAGGGGTCGGTCACGCGGCAGCTGGCCTCCGGGTATTCGACGGCGAGGTCTTTAAGCAGCGCCGCGAACGGCGGGTCGAAGAGCTTGACGTCCACCAAGGCGCAGTTGGCCGTCGCGGCCACGAACTCCACGCCCTCGCCGGTGCATGCGATGCTGAGCTCGCCGTCATCGTCTCCCACGACGACGCGGCCGGCGATGAGCCGGAAGTGGTCCAGAGCTCGAGACAGCGCCCTCTTTATGGTCTCGGCGGGCTCGTGGATGGCGCCGTCGAAGACGTGGAACGACGAGAACGCGGAGAAGGCGAGAGCCTTGTCGAAGGAGGAGACTTTGATGTGGTCGGGCGTCGTCGGCGTCGACTGCTCCGTCGACGGGCGGACCAGCAACGGCCTAGACTTGGTTACGATTACGCTCATTTTCCAATAGGAATCTCAAAACTAAGTGGCAACGACTCTAGGCATTTTTGGCTGGCTTATATGCAAGGCCGTGTCTACTTAACTTGTTGTCACTATCTTCAGTGACTGTATGGTTTCAATGTAAAAGCTGATGGTTTGTTATATGGGGTTGTCCAGTCCCGCAACGTGGGTGATTCAAGGCCACTGTAAATATTATGGCTAAGCAATATTGGTCGGGTTAATGAAAAGGCAATTTGTG